ACGGCGGAGACCACCAGCGGCAGGGCGGCGTTGAGGAGGAGATACGTTTTGGCTCTCTCACCCGCCGGAGAAGACACGTTCACCACATCCACGATGTCGGTGAAAATCTTGGCGCTTAACCCGACATAGCTCGTCGATAATCCGACGGCGACCTGGCGGTCCAACGGGAAGTTTTTAATGGCGACGATGTAACAGACGGTGTTGATCCAGCAAATGCTGTTCCCCGCCATGGCCGTGAGCAAGAAAACCTGCCAGAAAGACAGGGAAGTGATCTGGTTTATGAGGAAGAGATACTGGACGCCATAGCCAATGAACCCAAGCGTGGACCCAATCAACAGCACCACCCAGAGCGGCAGATACGCCGCTGCAACGCCGGAAAACCAGCCGAAAAGCTTCCCGGCGTCATTGGCGAACGCCAGATTGTTGAGCTGCACCTGAGATATGGAGAGGAGGTGTTTAAGCCGGGAAGAATACGCCGGAAAATTCAAGTTGCTGCCGTTCACTGATTGCAGCCATATCGCCGCCACTAAACTCAGCCATTGAAGCGCCATGGATTCAACTCAATTCTAACCAAAATCTTTGAATTTTGGCAGAAGAGATGAGGGTAATATAATCCTAGCTAGATAGCTAGAATTTCTTTCTCTTTTTCCAAATGGGAATGTTGAATGTTAAAATGGAGGCTCATAGTAATAATGAAGGGGAGTTAGAAGAAGTAATGATGGCTAGTGACGTTGATTATTAGCGATGTATGGGGAAGGCAATATAATTGTGGTGATTAACAGGAAAATGTGTTTTCCTTTGAACCACCACTCAAAACTACTGTCGCCATATTATGACATGTTTTAAGACTCCCCAAAATTTTTAAAAAAAAAAAAATAATAATAATAATAACACCAAATTTTTTTCCAAAATGCTAAGATAGTGCAGTGTGCAACTATTAGTAAATTCAAGATTTCGAGACAAACCGGCACGGACTTAGTTCAATGATTTAGTGGCCAGTATTTAGGGTTGGGCCCATAAGATTCTAAGTTCGACTCCAGCCGGGTACTGTCAACACTAGTCCAATGATTTAGTGGGCAGTATTTGGGGACGTTATGCCATGGAACCGTGTTCACCATTCATGGTGAACACGGTTCCAACGGTGTTAGTACACCGTTATCTTTTTTTTTTTTTTTCTTAATTAATTGCGTGATTTTTCTTCTTTATTTTCACATTTTTCGGTTTCACTTTAATTTGAGGTGAACAAAGATTTCGGACATTAATAAATTATGAATTCATGCCTACACATTCACTTTGGAACCATGCCTACACATTCCCGTCCGAAATCACGGACATTCATAAATTATGAATCCATGCCTGCACATTCACTTTGGAACCATGCCTACACATTCACTTTGGAACCATGAGATTATGAATTTTCTGTTATAAGATTATGAATTTTCTGTTATGAGATTATGAATTTTCTGTTATGCGATTATGAATTTTCTGTTATGCGATTATGAATTTTCTGTTATGAGATTATGAATTTTCATTACATTCATAATTTCGGACATTCATAAATTATGAATTCATGCCTGCACATTCACTTTGGAACCATGCCTACATATTCCCGTCCGAAATCACGGACATTCATAAATTATGAATCCATGCCTGCACATTCACTTTGGAACCATGCCTACACATTCACTTTGGAACCATGAGATTATGAATTTTCTGTTATAAGATTATGAATTTTCAGTTATGAGATTATGAATTTTCAGTTGTGAGATTATGAATTTTCTGTTATGCGATTATGAATTTTCATAACAGAAAATTCATAATTTGATCAAACGCGCGCCGTTAACTCCACATCCGCGAATTATTATTATTATTATTTTTTTGCCTAAAAACGACGTCGTTTTGCCTTGTGTTCACCATTCTCGGTGAACACGATTCCATGGCATAATTTGGGGTTGGGCCCATAAGATTCTAAGTTCGACTCCAGTCGGGTACTGTCAGTCTGTCAACACTAGTCCTGTCTAGTCCTTAGACAAAGCAAGTCAGTCTGTCAACACTAGTCCTGTCTAGTCCTTAGACAAAGCAAGTGGGTGGCCGGTGCGCACAAGGAATCTGCCCACTTTGGACATAATTTTCACACTGTCGCTAATGGCATGTTTGGTTCATGAATGCCTAAGAATGAGCTATTACCTTCAGCTTGGGAATAGCTTTTATATCGCAAATACCAAAAATACACTTTGCACATTATATAATATTTATATTTATTTAATAAATATAATGTATTATATAAATGTATATATTTAATTAATTATAATTTTTATCCATCAATCTATCAATATATATATATATATATATATATATATATATATATATATATATATATATATATATATAAAATTAACTGTATAAGACTCCTTAATTATGAAGCATTGACTCCTAAATTAAGTAGCCTGCCCATGTGCATGCCTAGCGGATGAGCATTGCAATTGAAATTATGGAGCCTTGAGGCTCCTTTTATAAGAGCCTCAAGGCTCCATTATTTACTTCTCCAACCGATATGAGATAAGTGAGAAAGTAAATTAAATATAAATATAAATATGTATTTATATAATAATAATAATAATAATAATAATAATAATTATTATTATTATTATTATTATTATTATTTTCTCTCTCACACACACATGCATATACATGTATATAAATAAATAAATAAATAAATAAATAAATAAATAAATATATATATATATATATATATATATATATATATATATATATATATATATATATATATATATATATATAACATTCAGTATATCATAATCATATTTATTATTATTATTATTATTTCGTATAAGGGTATTTATGTCTTAAAAATCTATTCCATTTCTATTCCTTCAACTTACCAAACACTGGAATACAATTACTAAAGTCTATTCTTTCAGCCAACCAAACTACAGAATACAATTCTTATTCTATTCCTTACCTATTCCATTCCCTGTGGAATAGCATTCCTATAACCTCCAAATTCATTCCGTGAACCAAACTTGCTGTAATAGTACTAGTACAACCACCTATTTGTACTAATTCCTCATATGGCAATGATGATTAGTTATCTTCATCGGGTCCCAAAAAATAAAATAATGTCAACATCAGAATTTGAGAGTAAATATAGTATTTTCCTATAATAAATTGATGTTAACGTGAGAAAACAATCCTGGTGGGCTGCCGTTTCAATTATTCTGGGCACCAAAGAAGGAAAACCTGACTAGGACTCTTCTTACGTACTCTACATGGGAACACAACACTTCCCTCAAAGTCTTCACCTACTATACATCTCAGTTATGCATTGTAACACAAATTTATTTAATTGTTTCTGACTGGAAACAGGGAGCCCTTTTGTTGTCTTGTATGCATTTATTCTACCGTTTTATGGTACCTCCCAGAATCTTGCCAGCAGTCTGCAGATAGATGCTCGATGCACCCAACATAAATTCTTTTGGCCTGGGTTTCGTCAAAAAGTAAGCATAAGATCGAAGAAAACTGGGATATGTATGTCCAGTTAATACTAAGATGTTTCTGGGGTTTGGGGGATATTAGTATGGTAGATAATGGTGTCATCAAAAGTAAAATGTTTAAGCAACTACAATTAAAAGAATCTAATCTGCATTTATGCTTGCCTGTATTTGGTAGGTGGCCATAATCCTGCCAAGAGTCACTTTCTGACTTAATTCCATTCATAAACAGAGAGCAGTGAAAGAATCCTGTTCCTCAAATGCATCCCCTTGGCAATCCCTCCACACTTAACCTTGGCCAGTCTCCTTTGCCGTTGAAAATTAAATTGGAAAATTATTAGGTTGAGCTACCCACAACAGGCTTTATATCTCTTAATATGCTGGTGTAAATGTGACATGTGCATGAAGTATGCCAGGTGTGGAAGGGAATACCTGCAACCCCGAGTGTTGTGTGTGTCTCATATGCACTGTTGGATGATAGGTGTTGGATGGAACAGTAAAAAAATCTGGTGCTACAAGTACAAGGTGTTTAGGCACATGAAAAAAAACTGTGCAAAGTTGGAGAAGTAGCAAGAGGTTGCGAACGTGATACAAACTAATGACTCAGATTAGACTGTAAAGGTGATGTCCTAGCAGTTTCATTGAGTCGGTTGTCAGATGCTTGGATTCTGGATTCAGGATGCTTAGGCCTAACATGGAGTGATATGATGGAAAGAACAATCACAAATTGTATGGTCCCTCTTCTCTACGCACTGTTCTATTTCCCCTTCAAGAACCATAACCAAGGTTAAACATCTTGTCACAAATTAACCCGCCTTCAGCCTAGATTGCCCAAATAGTTCAAATCAAGAAAGTCAATAACTAATTTATTATTGAGTTAATACCTAAAATGGTCCCTCGACTATGCCATAATTATCAATTTGGTCCTCAACTACCATTCTTACCCAATTAAGTCCTCAACTATTTAACTTTTACTCGATTAAGTCCTCAACTATACAATTCTTACCCAATTTAGTCCTCAACTATACAATTCTTACCCAATTTAGTCCTTTGTATTAATTTGACTGTTTGTTGACTGTCAAAAGTCGGGATAAAATTATAATTTTACAAGATTTCTCCTTCCTCTCCATTTAGCAGCGCCAAACCATGCAGCAATACACTCCGATCAGATTTCGATCGTCAAAAAATCGTTGAAAATCAAATTCATGGGCTATCCGATGCACAACCACTACTTCGATACTGACAGGTTTAGAACCCAACCGGAGCTTATTGCTACATGGTTTAGCGCTGCTAAATGCGGAGGAAGGAGAAAACTTGTAAAATTACAACTTTATTTCCACTTTTGACAGTCAACAAACAGTCAAATTGACAAAGGACTAAATTGAGTAAAAATTGTATAGTTGAGGACTTAATTGGGTAAGAATGATAGTCGAGGACCAAATTGGTAATTACGACATAGTCGAGGGACTATTTTGGGTATTAACTCTTTATTATTCTTGGCCTGGAGTTCATACGCACGTGGAAAACACGTGCTTCTTTGAGCCGGTCAGATTCATTCTGATTATTCACGAAACCTCTCTCCCGCTTTCTTCGACGTCAGTTAAGGTATCAAAAGCCTTAGTAATGGCGGCGACGGAGGAGAACCCCAAGGACGACAAGCCGGTGATTGTTAGGGTTAAGCGAAAAGCATCGCAATTTTGCCTCGATGCTTTCTGTGAGTTCTTTTTTTTTTACAACTTTCTTTTGTACTTTTATGTGTAGGCTTTGGTTTTTGAATTCTCTGTGACTTTGGTGAATTGGCAGGGCTTGAAATCAATGAGAGACCACTCAAACGCCCGTTGATTGACTTTGAGAACCTCTCAATTTCCAATTCTTCTTCTAGTACTAGTAAAGGTTTGTGAAGCTCCTTTCTCTTTCTCCCCAGCAAAATCTATGATTTTTATGCATTTGTTCTGCAAATTATGATGTATATATATACCTGCTTGTATCTATTTATTGTAATGTATTTGAGTTTTAATTACTATGATGCACTTCCAACTGTGTTACAGTAGAGGAATTGAAGACAAAAAAGGTTCTTGTACAGCATGTTGAGACCATAACTAACTCAGAAGTCACTGCTGATCTTGTGCGGTCTTTTGTGGTTAGTATTATAATCCCATTTTATCATGTATTTTTCTGAATTCCCATTCTTTTCTTTGCTGATAACAAAGGTAGGAGAATTCTTTGAGGCTTGTATTCATTAACTGTATTATATTCTCCAAATCTCTCTTACTATTATGAGGAAGCACAATTTTAACAGTTAGTAGTGGCTACCTACTATAATGGTTTGCTACTTGGTAACAGCCTGATTCTGCTGCTGATTCTTCAATTGTCAAAGAGAAATTTGAGGAAAGAAGACATGCATTTAAGGCTAATAATGTAAGTCTTTAATGAGTTATTCCATTGCAAATTCAGACAAATATTTTGATGTGTTAACATGAATGCTCTGTGCATTTTGAATGTAGCACATGCGAAGGCAAGATCAGCTTCTTACAAAAGCTAAACAAAAACAAGAGGTGAACTTCTGACACTTCTCATTTTAGAAAGGAACTTTCTTATGGTCAATTGTCATTCTGAATAGATAATTTCTTAGTTTGTTAACTCTTAGGGAAGTAATTAACATTAAATCAACTTGTTCCTTTCCAGAATTAAGCAGTCAAAAGACTCTTACTTTCCTCCTATCTGGTAGATTCCTTTGATAAAATCTGTAATTTATCTTTCTAGGATTTGTCAAAAAATGCTCGATTTGAGCAAATATGGAAAAGTAGAAGGGGTAAGAAGGATGATGAAGCACTACATGAAGTCTGCCGACTGTATGATGTTGTTCGTGTTGATACAGAGGAAAAAAGCCATGATGTACAAGAGGAGTATGTTTTGTTGCCCAAAGCTGTTTATGTTAATCCAACTGTATTACTGGTTTCTATCATCTCTTTTTCTTGTGCCAGGGAAAATAACCACTTCTATTGTGTGTCTGTAGAGATCCAGAGTTGGAAGATCACAGGATGATGTCTCAGTATTTGCCACTCTTAAGAGAAGTCATGCCAAGTGCCGCTGAAGAAATTGAGTCTGGCATACATGACTATATCTTCAAACAAGGTTCTGCCCTATTTTCTCTATTGGGGTTGGAAGGCTTCAATGAAAGTTGCATTGTTGTTGCTTACTGGGGCTTTTAAACTGCAATACTATGTCTTGAAATTCTCTAGTCTTTTCTGGTATCTAGTTATTTATAAAAAAAAGAGAGGAAATCATGAAATGGCATGAATACTTTTTCTATGAAACCTTTTTGCTTGTGGATAGAACTTAGTCTTTAATCTTTGTGCAGCATCTTCAGATGGTTTTGTATATGACTTCTATGCCGTTAAGAATGATGTTGAGACCATGGCGGAATCAACTGAAAACCATTTTCCTTTGTAAGGATTCATAGCACTCTATGCTTATCCTAATCTTAGTTTGTGTCATATTTCTTGTAAAAATAGCACCTTTGTTTTCCAGGGTTCAAGTGGATGACGATGATGACTTCTATGATGGTCCTGATGATTCAGACTATGAAACTGATGATTCTAATGGTATCACTAGTCTTACTTTCTTTAACGTTTCATGAATTATGCTGCCACAGCTCGTACATGGTTTGATATTGTCAACTATTTGTATCTCAGATGAAAACAACCCCCGTAATGAGTATCCCGATGAAGAGTCATCTGGAGATGAGGATGGAGTAGAGAGTCTATCCTCAAATGACCGGTCAGAAGGTGAGAGTGAATCTTCCTCTGACGAACAAGAAACTGACATCTATGTATCTCGCGAGGGAGAGGATTTGAGTCGATTCGAGTGTTCAGATGGTTGGGATCCATTTGTTGAAGATGATATCTATAGTGGTGATGATTGTGAATTGTATGACTATGGTGAGGATGTTTGGTGAGGAAGACAAATGGATGTGATTTCTGGTAGTTGTAGTTGTCTGATATCATATGGATTCCCTTTCAGATTTAAGTTCAGTGGATTCTTACACTACTGAGTAAAATTGTTTTTTTTTTTTTTTTTTTTTTTCTTTTTGGAACAAACAAACCTCTTTTCATGAATTCAAGTCTAACTGCAGTAAATGAACAATAGAAGGGAAAGGAACTTAGGCATCCTCAATAGTGTGAAGATTTTGAGGAGGTTTTAGAGGTGTAATTAGGAAAAAGAAAATGGGAAGAGAGAAAAAAAAAAAAATTTGAATATATATATATATATATATATATATATATATATATATATATAATTATATATATATAATTATGCGGGCGTGTGCTGTGCATGCGTCTCAGTCTCTCTCCCACAGTGGGACCCACTATCTTTACAAAATCCACTCCAACCCTTTCTCTCTCTTTCCTCCACCTCACTCAAAATTCCTCAAAACCTGTCTAAAAGCCCCTTTTGGGATCTCCCCTTTCTCTCAATTCCATCTCTTTCCTCCACCTCACTCAAAATTCCTCAAAATCTGTCCAAAAGTCCCTTTTGGGATGCTCTCATAAACAATCCATACAATTTGACTTGTATAAGACCTAGCTAATAAATAGGCAATCTTATCCGTACCGTAGATTATTTAACAAACAAAAACAAAGATTAGAAAATGCTCTAGCTAATTCCTAACATCATTGACAATTAGATGAAACGAGGATAGCAAATTTTCTCATTTATGACTTCTCAAATCTTTCATCAAATCATGATGAGTTGGTTAAAAGTCATCTAATTCCAACATAGCCTAGCCAAGTCACATATAACAAATAGGTGATATATATGTCATTGGAGTTTGAACAAAGGAGAAACAGTGAGCATCCACAATGGTTGGGGAGAATTAGGGGATAATGTAAGAGTGATTAGGAGAGAGAATGTGGGGAAGGAGAGGAAAAAAAAAAATCAGAAAAAAAAAAAGGTCAGGCGTGCCGAATGGCTCGGCACGCCTGACGCGCCCGTGTGGGCTGCTGCTGTGCACAAAACGCGCACAGCAGCCCATGTTTCTTCCTTTTTTTTTTTTTTCTTCTTTTCTGTCATTATTCTTAACTTTGCAGATGAATTCTTCCCAAATCTATTCTCCCTCACATTAACTATAAACTTGAATTAAGTGAATTAATGCTGCATTCTCCCCACATTATCTCTGATGTAGATACTCTTAGGAAGCCAAGGTTTTGGGTGAGGTAGGGGTAGAGAGAGTATGAGAGATGAGCGAGGGGAGAGAGATGTTGCAGAAAAATGTGTTATTTTCATCTGACAAAAAAATTATACACATGTGGATGCTCAAAAGAAGACAACAAAAAATTAGGTGGCAAACTGGCAATTGATGGCTTGATGCTAATATTATTATTTGGCAAGGAGTGTGAGTCAGCTTGGTATAAGATGTGACATGTGAGAATTTATAGTTGGAAAATACTGTATGTACTCTTATTTCTTACTCTCACACACAAAATTTTGATATAGACATTTATATTGGAATTCACATGATAAAATAGTTTATCAGTGATTATCACATTAGAAAATAAAATTTAAAGAGTAAGATTTAGAAGTTCATGTAGTAGAACTTTAATTTTGTAGAACGTGAGAATTTTAGGTGTGATGAGGACAAAGGAGTGTGAGTCAGCTTGGTATGTATAAGATCAGATGCTGATTCGCAACATCCCCCATCTCCATATCCGACCATTGCTCTATTTGCATTAAAAAAAAAAAAAATTGAAACTTATTTGCATTAAAAATATTTCACCAATAATGCTACTTTTATAATAAATAAATATAAATACACTATCATTTTCATATACTATAAATTAAAAGTGAATAAGATTATTTTGTTTGAGCAATCAACCTTCTTCATGTGTAATAACTCAGAAATAAAATATAAATTGCACTATATGCAACGAATACGATAAAAAAAATGTTGACAAGAGTTGAGCTCGTGACATTCACTAACTTTAATGTTTGATATATTTATAGCAAAAATATCATATGAGCTATCAACTTATAATTATTAATTATCTAGAAAATAAATGACAAAAATATATGCTCAAATTTTAAGCTTCTTATATTTTGAATCCATCCACTCTTGTGATATTCTTACTTATAGTCATCAACTGCTATTTCATGCACTATTAGTTACTCGACTTTGGATTTTTATTTATTTTTTTTGCTACATTTATTAGTTTTTTTTTTAATGATTTTCTAAGCTAAATTTCAACTAAAATATTTTTTTACAAGTTTTTAGGTGGTGAGTAAACATTAGTACTTTACACAAATTTTTAGATTGATTAATCAGTTTTAATTATACACAAAAAAATTTTCATCGCTTTCTTTACGGAGTAACTCAATAAATATGAATTTCGAGTTGAGATAAACACCTTGAGTCTAGAAACGTATATTTTGCCATTTTGGTATTAAATATCAAAATTAAATGAATTCAATTTACCTTATTATGAATTTCGAGTAAATTCATAGAATTCAGAATATAATTTAGGAAAAAAAATTGAAATTATAAAAAATGGATATACCTATAAATGAATTTGATGGCAGTACGTAACTCCTGCATATTATTTTAACTGACCGCCACGAGTTTGCCACGTAGACGTAGCCAACTATGCATTCCCCACGTGATCATCGCCCAATCGCTATCAAATCTCTTGTCTCGTATATTCATTGAATATTTTCTACTATCTTCTTCTACTTCTTCACGTTAATCTCTGCAATCTCAGAGTAGCGCGGAGAGCGAAAGTATTCTCAATCCGAAAAATGAAGAGATTTATCGTATCAGGGCGGAGGGCATTATCAGCGAGAGGTTCACCGTTGATTCACCGGCCATTCGCCACCGCCGCGCAGTCCGACGAGTCTCTTGACTCATTGCTCCCCAAAATGCCCCCCTTCCACTACTCTCCGCCTCCGTACACCGGCCCCTCAGCCGCCGAGGTGCTTCAGAAACGCCAGCGTTACCTCAGCCCCGCCATCTTCCATTTCTTCAAGAACCCGGTGAGTTTATACGTGACGAGTTTTTTTTTTTTGTTTTTCCCAATTTTCTGGAAAAAAGTTTGGCCTGGCTCCACTCACGTGTGAGGTGAGTTCCGAGCAACACGTGGATTGTAGTCGTTTATCGGGTGACGCAGAGATTCCAATTCATTACCAAATTGAAGAGCTCGTTTCCATCTCAATTGGCCTAAGCTAATAATTAGATTGCACATTAATGGCTATATGCTTGACATTTGTAAATTCTGATTGTTTTATGGGTTGGGCAGTTGAATTTGGTGGATGGGAAGATGCAGTACTTGTTCGACGAGAATGGGCGTCGGTATCTGGATGCATTTGGCGGGATCGCCACCGTGTGTTGCGGCCACTGCCACCCGGAGGTGGTGGAGGCGGTGGTGAACCAAACAAAGCGCCTCCAACATTCCACCGTGTTGTATCTCAATCACACCATAGCTGATTTTGCCGAAGCACTTGCCTCCAAGATGCCTGGAGATCTCAAGGTGGGTTACCCTTCTTTACCTCCATTTCTATACCTTCTTTGTCTGTTCATCTTCATTTTATTTTTATTTCCTTATTGTTGTTTAGGTTGTTTACTTTACGAATTCTGGGACAGAGGCCAATGAACTGGCTTTGCTAATGACGAGGTTGTATACTGGCTGTCACGATGTTATTTCAATCAGGAATGGTTATCATGGTAATGCCGCTGCTACTATGAATGCTACTGCTCAATCTAACTACAAGTTCAATGTAGTGCAGGTACATCCATGGGGTTTATGAATTTTTCTGTTTGCACCTATGAATGTGGCTAATTGCATAGATGTTCTTGTGCTTTAGACTTTGATAAGGTGTTTGCTAAAGTATTGTGCCAATTGGTTTACTTATCTAATTAACCATCTAGCATATGATACCTAATGCACTTTGTCACAAGAAAGAGAGCATGATCCCTCCCTCCTAGGGCCTCCACACCCTGCCTAACAGGATTGTGGAGGGGGTGACTGAGCGGCCCATTAGGTGGAGGAGGGGTAAATCATAGTGACTGAGCGGCCCATTAGGTGGAGGGGGGGTAAATCACAGTGACTGAGCGGCCCATTAGGTGGGAAGACCAGTATCTGGTGCCCTAAGGAGTTACTCATACAAGAGGGTGAAACTCTCACACTGTGGTTGCCAGTCTTAAATGAAGACTAGTATCGGTAGTTGTTGACTCGATGTTAATAACCACCAAGTTTATAGTTATGTTGTTGTGGTGAGAATGGGTTTAGGAGCAAAGAAGATTGATTGTATGTTGTCTTAACCAAATTCAACAGGCTGGAATCCACCATTCCTTGAATCCAGATCAGTACAGAGGTGTTTTTGGCTCAGATGGACCGAAATATGCCAGGGATGTGGATGATATTATTACCTATGGAACAACCGGTTGTGTTGCTGGTTTTATTGCTGAAGCCATACAGGTTTTAACGTTTGACATACACCTATTACATGTACCGTTTTATCCATGTACATTGTTTGAATACTAATGATTCCCGTTCTTGACAGGGTGTGGGGGGAATCATGGAATTGGCCCCGGGATACTTGCCAGCGGTCTATAGCAGTATCAGAAGAGCGGGAGGCCTTTGTATAGCGGATGAGGTGCAGTCAGGTTTTGGTCGGACAGGAAGCCATTTTTGGGGATTCGAGGCCCATGGAGTTGTGCCTGATATTGTTACCATGGCAAAGGTATAATCTTTTCTCCCCTATGATTGCTTACTTGTTCATAGGTTGATTCCCGAATTTTCAAAAAGTTTTCTTGAGCAATGTTAGGAAGTTCATCTGTGACTGCTATATATGATTTGAGCAAATGGTTTGTGCCAACCTTTGAGATTATGATGCATTTGCTTCTGCTTTACATCAGGGAATTGGAAACGGCATTCCACTTGGTGCTGTTGTCACTACTCCCGACATTGCAAAAGTCTTAACAAATCGCACTTATTTCAATACCTTTGGTGGGAATCCCGTGTGCACAGCAGGCGGCCTAGCTGTTCTTAAAGTGTTAGAAAAAGAGAAGCTCCAACAGAACGCGCTCACTGTGGGATCATATCTCAAAGAGCGTCTCGTTTCACTAATGGAGAAGCATGAAAGTACGTTTCCTTCATTTTCCTTCATTTATATTCTATACAAGTTAAGAACTCTGTGTATCAGAAAGAGCCCGTGTTTAAAGGATTGTTTTCTTGCTTCTACGTGACCAGTAACCATACTTTTTGCAGTTATTGGCGATGTAAGGGGACGAGGCTTCATGCTAGGAGTTGAACTTGTGACTGACAGGAAGGCAAAAACTCCAGCAAAGGTTGAAATAGTTCATCTAATGGAACAGATGAAAGGTGCGTTTTTCTTGTCTCCACTCAATCACTCATCTTATAGCTAAAAGTCCTTATTGAGTTACGGTCATTTCTTTAACGAACGTTTATTATCTCCAGAAATGGGAGTACTGATAGGGAAAGGTGGATTCTTTGGTAACGTTTTCAGAATCACTCCACCGCTCTGCTTCACCAAGGAAGATGCAGGTTCGTTCTTCATCTTTTTTTGTTAACAATTCTTTCCCCGATTTTTATCTCCCTCCCCGTTTTAATGTCACTTAATCGTTCTTTTAGATTTCCTTGTGGATGTCATGGATTACAACATGTCAAAGCTGTGAAGCGGGGGCGATAAAGAAGGGATCTTTCTACTTGTGAAACGAAGGTGATCACTGTCTGGCACATATTGTTGTATGTTCTGTCGAACAAATAACTGCCATACATGGCAGGGAGATTGTGAGACATCACCTCGTTGTCTCTCTTCTCCATCTTGTTGTGTTTCATTAAACTGTGCTGAAATGTGATCCTTGTAAAGATGAGACTATGTTCTTGGTAATATAAGTCTGCAGTTTCTTCTCAAGTCTGCATTTTTATGAGTCCATATGGTAAATTGGGGTTTGAAGCCATAACTAAAACTAGTGTTCAAGTCATCCACAGCACTATAAGTCTGCCAGTGTTGATTGCAGTCTGCAAAGTGTATCCAAAACTAGCATATTGGGTTGTTGCATATGCTCTTATTTTTTTGTTTTTTTTTTTTCCTATTATCTTGTGATCATTGCCCACAAAAGACAAAATTCTTTGCCCTAAGGACTCCCGCACCTTGACCCGACAGGATGATGGAAGGATAAATCACGTTGACTCAGTGATTTCTAAGGTGGGAGAAGTGGAGAACTAATGCAAGATGCCCACAAAGAGTCCACTACACCCGGTCCAGCAGGATGAAGGAATAACTCACGGTGACTCAATGGCCTATTAGGTCGAAAGATTAGTGTTTGATATCCACACTATGACTAATAGATCTCAATCTTGCGTTATTAGTTATTACTCACAATCTACCGCCTAATTATTAATTCAGTTGTTTGGGCTTTTTTCTACAATCATTTTTGTATGTGGGTGGGGGGTTATAATCATGGTTGCAAAAATCGCGCCTAGGCGGTGCCCTCCTCTGCGGTTAATTTTTTTTTTTTTTTGATGAATAACTCCCTAAAAAACTAAATTAAAAAATTTAAACAAAAATAAAAAATCGGGCACCTAGGGGACGCCTAGCGTCTTTTTCAACCCTGGTTATAATGAGTGAGTGTGTGGAGTTCAATCATTATACCGTGCACCTTGCCCTTCCCAAAACGATGACGTTTTGTTAATTTCAGGTATAAAATTATGTGCATTCTATTATATAATTCTGTACATTCGAAACATGCAATATTTTAATTTTAAGGATTTAACAAACAAGCAAAAAAGTATAAAATGACGTCGTTTTGGGCCATGGCGCACAATGGTGCACGGTATAATTTGCCAGTGAAGTTGAAGACGCTGTAGTAGATTATTGGATAAAGGATGATTGATCTTGTTAATGGAAGAAAGGATTACAGATAAGAGAGAAGTAGGTATGAATTGTATGGGAGAGACATGTGGCCTTGGACCGCATTCATGGGCTCATCATTGTTTCTCATATTTTAATGGTGAAAGATACTCCATAAAACACTCCACTTGTTACCTGCACTCTAAAGCCTAATGTGGGACTGAAGCAACCTACTATGACATGATGATACTTTGAATTAAAGTTGGGTAATATGGTGGATTGCCGGTTAAAGTGCATGATAGTATATATTTAAATAATTATATGATATGTGTATATCATTCGTGCTACAAATAGTTTAGTTGTTGTAAGTCTATTCGAACTGACCAACATGTTTATATCCATTGATGAGTTTACTGGCTCACATATTGGTTTTCTAGAAGGCTAATCTTTAGACCTAAGAAAGATTTGGCATCCTGTTTAGGTTATTGTTGTTTGGGAGCTCATATATGTTTTCTAGAAAGGATATTTGGTATAGTGTTGGAGTTATTGTGTCAAAGAGGCTATCTAATAATATATATTTGCAATGTTGAGGATACTCATTATACCGTGGACCCTGATTTTATACGACGTCGTTTTGAACTTTAATTTTAACGGAGACCGTTTGTTTTTCAGGTCGCGTTACAGAGTTTTTTTTTTTTTTTTTTTTTTTTTTTTTTTTTTAACTGTAAAGCATGTTTGTGTACATCGTGTTTATGTATTTTTGTACATTATGTTACGAAATTCTGTTTCTGTACCTTAAGTGTAACTATTCTGTATCTGAAATTGATTAGTAGTTGTATAATACAAAATATATTGTGTATCTTATTTTACGAATTTATGTCTTGTATTATGTAATTATGTGTCTATATGACATAAATTATTTACACAAATTAGATATGAGAATAAGTAAAATAGAAACATGTGTATGTATATCACGTTAATATGTGTTTCTGTACATTAAGCATAGGATTCTGTACATAGAATAAATTAAAATTTTGTGAGAAATAGGAGATTACAGAATCATGTCGTTTTAATCCAAAATTCACGATGCTATGTGGACCCTGATCCACGATATAAATTGGCGAGTATACTACTCTCCAGTCCCCACCCTCAAAGCTTGGGCTCGAGTTAGCTAGAGGTTTTACTATACTTAGATTAGATTATGGTCCCCTAATTATAACCATGAAGCTCCACTGAGTTTTCTGTGGGATGTAGATGGCATACTGCTTATATTTCTACTGTGTTTTTTTGTCCCCACGCGCAAATATATATCCTCAGCTCCAGTGAGTTTTCTGACACGCCCAACTTCAAGATTTCCCGTGTACTACCCACTAAAAATTTATTTATTTATTTATAACTCAACTTATGAGTAGGGAGCGTTATGCCGTGCAAATGGTGCACATAGTTATAAAATAACGTCGTTTTGACGACCGATTTAAAAATAAATAAATAAAAATTCAGTTTCGATTATCATTAACGGTGTTATGTTGTGCATAATTTGAACTATATAATTCATTCATTCTGGATATATAGTTCAAATTATGCCTAACATAGAAACTGATTTTCTTTTAAAAATCAAACGCTTCGTTTTTAATCAAAACAACACCATTTTTGCAACTGTGTGTATCATGCATGGTGCACATGGTTGCACGGCATAATTTGCGTCATGAGTATGGTAAACCAAGTCAATTTAACTTTAAGACTAGAAACCAAACTATCAAACTCTTTGAGCCCAAGGAGCCCGGCCAACCTAAATCCGCAAATTATGCTGTGCAACCGATTGCACCATGCGCATGGTGCATTCGATGCAAAACGACATCATTTTAGTTAAAAAACGCGCGTCCCACTTAAAGAAGAAATCAGGTTTGATTCTAGGCAATAGCATTTTTATATATCCATAAATTCATAACTATATATCCATAAATTCATAACTATATATCCACAGTGAATGAATGAAGTAAAAATCCACAATGAACGAACTAAATATCCACAATGAATGAATGAACTAAATATCTACAATAAATGAACTAAATATCCACAATGAATGAACTAAATATCCAGAAATTCATAACTATATATCCAGAAATTCATAACTATATATCCACAGTGAATGAATGAAGTAAATATCTACAATGAATGAACTAAATATCCACAATGAATGAACTAAATATCCATAAATTCATAACTATACATCCACAAATTCATAACTATATATCCAGAAATTCATAACTATATATCCACAATAATGTTATTGCCGAGAGTCGAACCTGAATTTTTTTTTTAAGCGGGTCGCGCGTTTTTAGTTAAAACGACATCGTTTTGCATCGTATGCACCATGCGCATGGTGCATTCGGTTGCGAAGCATAACTATTAACCTAAATCCAAACCCTTATTATTTGTGACAGGGAAAAACAAGTCGTCAAGTTTTGTTTCTTATCCACTAAACCAATGTCCCGAGTCCACTAAAAAAATTCTTGTAGTGGAGTCATGAATTTGTTCACAGGCTCACATGGGATGTGGATGAAGTGAAGTCTGTCACAACATTCACTATAAATTCTGAGAAGTTCATCTCCCATTTCATCCCAGATTCCACCTTCTGATCTTCTTAGCTTCTTCCATTACAATCATATCACCACTTCCATGGCTACTCCATTCTTGATAAACAGGAAGGATGTTGTGCTTGTTAAGCCTGCAGAACCTACTCCATCTGAGATCCTATCCTTCTCCACCATAGATAATGATCCCAATCTTGAACTTCTCTGCCAAACCCTCTACGTTTACCAAGCAAATCCCACTTCTGATTCTAATGCCAGTAGCCATGCAGAATCCGCAGACCCAGTTTTAGTGATCAAAACGGCTCTTTCTAAGGCTCTGGTTTACTACTACCCCTTGGCTGGGAAGCTCAAGAGGAACTCAGATGGAAGGCTTGAAATCACTTGTAATGGTGACGGCGTGCCGTACATGGAAGCAACTGCCGACTGTGCCCTCTCTTCATTAAACTATTTTGATGGAACTGACGTGAAAATCGGCCAACAATTTGTGTTTGATTGGCCGTCTCACAGCGCTGCTGGGTACCACCCTTTGGTTCTTCAGGTCACCAGATTCTCTTGCGGCGGCTTCACCGTCGGCATGGGGTTGTCCCATTCCGTCTGCGATGGCTTCGGCGCCGCCCTGTTCTTCCGCGCCATGGCCGAGCTGGCTAGCGGCAAGGAACACCCCTCTGTAAAACCCGTTTGGGAAAGGGAGATATTAGTAGGGAAAGCTAACTCTCCCGCCGGCCAATATCCGTTCGATTTCATCTCCACAGAAAGTAATACTGAACAAAAATGCAAAATAATGACAGAAAGTAAAGAAGACAAGAATTATGTCCCACCCCTATCATCTTTGGGTGAGACAAAAAGTAAAGAATACAAGAATTCTGTCCCAACCCTATCATCTTCCGTTACATATGAGACAGATGCGATTTTGCATGAATGTTTCAATGTAGACGCAGAGAGCATAAGAACGCTGAAAAAGCGTTTTGCAGAAGAAGCGGCGGCGCATGGTGACGGCGGCGAGAGTTTAACCGAAGCTTTCACGACGGTGGAAGTTCTGGCTGCTTATGTATGGCGGTCGAGAATCAGAGCTCTTAAACAGAACCCCGACGGGAACACCATTCTCTGCTTGGCCGTCGGGATCAGAAGGCTACTGACCGACCCGCCTCTGCCGGCGGGGTATTACGGCAACGCTTTCATCTCCGCCGTCGCTGTTTCGCCGTGCAAGAGCCTCGACCAGGGCCCAATCTATAAAGTCGCGAAGATGATCAAAGAAAGCAAGAAAGCGGTTTCGAGAAACGACCAAATCCGCCGCTCGATCGACACGCTGGAGGCGTTCGTGCGGGGGAATAGGAAGGTGGACGGCGGCGGCGCGGCGTTCGTGGTGACGGATTGGAGGCAGTTAAGGTTGTCGGAGGAGGTTGACTTCGGTTGGGGATCGGCGGTGAACATGATCCCGCTGCCGTGGGAGATGTTTGGGTATGTGGACTTGTACATTTTCTTGCCGCCGTGCAGGTCGAACCCTGCCATGGAAGGTGGAGTTAGGGTGCTGGTTTCGCTCCCCGGAGCCGCCATGGCTACGTTCAAGGAAGAAATGGATGCTATCAAGAAATTGTCCTCGGATAATGGAATCACACATTGCTAAATATACATCAACTGCTGATTTCTGTAACATTTTCTTGGTTTCTTTTTATTAGTGTTTGTTTTGTTTTGTTTTTTTCTTTGAGCCTTTATGTTTTTATAAATCGTTAAAAAGATCAGAGTTTGTTTGTTACTCATAAATGATGTTGGAAGGGGGTTGGTAAATGTGATTTTTTCTTTTTTAGATATTTTTTCATTATACATTAAATAAAAAAATAAACTCTTGCAGTTTTTTAGTGGGTACTAGTATGGATAAAGCTTTGTAGAAAATTTCACTTTTATCCCTTGTCTATTATACATGAATTATATTTTGGTTATTATCTATTATTATTATTATTTTAATTTAATGCGTGTATGACTATGTAATTTGTATCATATTAAATTATGCCATCCAATTTGCAGGCCAACTATTGCTAGAGGTGCGGACGAGCAATGCATTTGCTTCATTTAGAAAGAACACTTCCAGAGAGGAGCAGTGCATTTGTTTATTCTAGAAAGAGCATTGCATTTACTTATTTTGAGATGAGCACTCAACTCCTGACAATAGTTGATCGAGTAAAATGGCAAAACTAAGTGTGATACAAATTATATAATCATATACCTAATTATATATTTTTAATAGTCAATAATCAAATGTGATTCATGTATAATGGTCATGAGACCAGAAGTCAAATTTATTCACACCCTAGCTATGCTCTCGAAACTTCGCTCCAAATACGGCCTGACATGTTGGAAAGAAGCACTAAGGGCATCCACACTTGTGGATATTGTTGAGATAATTCAGCATTCATTCTTCCCTCTTTGAGATAATAGCTAGTGTGGACATGAGATAATTGAAAAATAATCTCCCTGCAAATGTAGGGAGATTGTCAGAAAAAAAAAAAAAAAAAAAAAAAAAAAAAGAAAGAGGAAGAAGCAAGGCTGTGCGCGTTCGCGCACAGCCTTGGGCAAAAGCCGGGCGCGTGCACTGCACGCGCCCGGAGGCGCGTCAGGCGCGCCAGTCGGCGCGCCTGACGCGTCTGATTACTTTTTTTTTTTTAATTTTTTTTTTGTTTTGTTTTTTCTTTTTTTTTTTCTCTCCCCTCCCACACTCTCTTTCCTAATCACTCTTACATTATCCCCACATTCTCCCCAACCAATGTGGATGCTCTAAAAGCAAGGCCATTAGTTGGTCTCATGCTCCTATTTGTTCAAAAATTATGCAATTAGTTTTTTCTCTGCAAAAACTTGAGAAAAAAAAAAACAAAAAAAACAAAAATGGCATTGCTCTAAGAAAAGGAAGATGGAAATAGATAATATTGTGATTACTGAGAACGTTGATGTTAGATATTACTTGGTAAGTTAAATTTCAAGTTTGATTTTTTTTTTTTTTTTTAGTTGGTAACTTAAACAATTTAGGCTAATTTATTTTCTTGTGATCTTTTATTGATTATAGTCACAATACGAACTTGACATAAAACACATCTTCAAGCTGCGATTGTGAATTTTCTTGTAAATCATACATAGTATTCACTCTGTCCTATTTTGTCCGTCATGTTTATTTTTCATTACTTTTTTTTTTCTTTTAGTAACTTTTTTATTATTTTAATTTTAATTTTTTTTTTTTGTTTAATAGTGTGTAGTTTGTAATACTCTATCCGAGAGTTATCAGTATTTATCAAATCTGTTCCTATCTAACAGAACACTATTTGATCAAATGACAAAGACTTTGTTGAGAAAAAGATGGCTTTGTAGTTGTCTCATGCATGACATAAATTTTTTAATTAAATAATAAATAATGCTAATTTGTTATAGGACTAATTTAAAAAAATAGGGGTTAACTCAGGTAAGTTTAATTGGTTGGAATGTTCCAAGTTTACTCTTCAATAGAGTCGTTTATTGACCTTTTTGATTTGAGATAATAGCTATGAACCATTTAAGTTGGTTTACTCCCTTAATCTTTTGCCGGTCAAAGTTACGTTAAATTCTATCATGAACTATGGTCTACCTTGCATAATGGATCCTGGTTCAGAATAATATTCATATTATATCTCAGTCGTTGACATATTTTTTACCTGTATTTAATAGTTTATGTGCATATAAGTAAATTGAAGACAAATAACATGTTAACTACATACATATAATATGTTAATTGCAGATGCATAATATTTTAACGACATATTACGTATCTGCAGTTAACATATCATATATTTGTAATTACCATGTTATATGTTTATATTTAACATGTTATGTGGCTTCAATTTATTTATAGATACATAAATTATTATTGCACATACAAAATATGTAAATACATAATTTTTGGATCAAGATCCACAATACAAGATAAATCTTAATCCATAATATAACAATTATAAGATTACAAGGTAAGTTTCATCAATAACACAAATTCGAATAGTGATTATATACTTTCTACTAAATCAAATCACTAATTTTAAAAACCAACCCTAAATAAAATCTATACGACGTCGTTCAATCTCAATTCTATTTCCTACCCATCACTCGGTCACTCTGCAGCTTTGCCTTCTCGCATCTTGTTAGTCGTCTTCTCCTCCGCGGTCGACTGTTCCATTTCGCCGGTAAATTCATCAAGTGCCCTTTTTTCTTGTTGGGTTTTCGTTTCTTTGTGGCTTCTTCCTGAAAGAATAGCCCGTGTGTATCAATTTCTTGTTTACAAACGGCATGTAGAGGCAACCCGAGAGTAGAAATGAAGCTAAAGGTGGTTTGCCGGAAAGTATATGATTATGTCCGATATGACCTGAAGGAAATTGCATTCCCTTCATCTTTACCTGACCCCCCTCATATCAAAAAGCGCGGGAAACTAACTTGGAAGGAGCGTTACCTTGTGAGTCTTCTGTAATATGTATTGATTGTCTTATGGATTTCATTGCAAATTACATTTATCTTGCTTAAAATGTAGTTGTGATTGCCTATACATTTCTGGTTTCCATTCATTCTGAAGCTAGTAGATGCCTTTTTGAATGACTAGAAACCGCGATCACTGCCTTAGCCTGCCTTTTGACCCACCAAAGGATCACAGAGAGTTAAACTAGCTTAAGTTGTCAATAGTTTATCAGCTCAAACCAAGAAGGTCAATAGTCCGCTCCCGCTGAGGGTTGCCCCAGTAGATGCTTTTGACCATTTTTGGTAAATGGCGGTTAGCTGATAGCTGCTAGAGGGTATGACAACATTAGTTGATTGTAGAAAGGTTTTTGGTAAATAGCTGTTTGGTATAATTTCTTTTCTCAAAAAGCTAATTGAAAAAGTTGTTTTGAGTAGCTGTTTGAATTTTAGCATTTTGGAGTTACATAAAGCTGATTAATCTATATGTTGTTGGAAATCTAATGCTGATAATGTGAAATCCCAAACACTGTGTTGCACAATGATCCTTGGTTTGGTGCACCCGGAGCAAGGATTGGAACTTAGACAACTATGCTTTATGGTGTTTACTATGATGCTACCTTTGATGTTGAAATTTATAGTCTTATGATGCTACCTTTGATGTTGAACTTTTTTGTTCAGGTGTTGAAGGAAGCTTCAAGGCTTTATGCTGCAAGCTGGGTAAGGGACATTGGCCCTGAACTCCGACCTAATGACTACAAAAAGGAGCAATATGATGAAGACATGCCTCATGAAGAAAATGGTACAACTAAGGAGAAGGAACCCTCAACATTGGAGGACCTAGGTAAAGAACCTCAACCAGCTGATTTTATAATTCAAAAAATGTGCCCCAGGTACAGTTCAAATGATTGATCAATCCAAAGTAAGGTTAATAGCTTCCTTCGCTGGTCATCCGTGGGGATTTGAATCCCATCTAGGAGAGTGGTGTGGATTTGTTTGTTATGGACATCAGTGTACAAGCGCTTCACTTTAGGCCAATAGAGCACATCCTGCCATTTACTCCGCCACCGTGGCTTTAGGGTAATGGATGGGGAGGCCCTTGGGTTTGGGGTGTGTTGAAAAATAAAGAGTTCGGTTTATCTATAGGGTTGTGTCTATTTATGAATAGGTGTCAGTTTATGGATAGGTACTTACAATTATGTGTGTGTATATATATGTGTACTATGTTTCTTTATTAGAAACAGAGAATATAGAATATATTTGTAACCTTTCAGCATTTATACATTTTTCTCATTCTGTGATTCTTCATTCTTGCTCCCGCCTAACTGGCGGGTGGTTGTTATTCTCCACCCGCCAGGCCATTCCATCTTCCAAATTCAACAGGGTGCAAACCCATAATTCAAATAATATTTTTACTGTAACTGACATTGCCAAAACTTCTTAAATTAATGCTTCACTATTACCTTTGCATATAGACGATAAATCTGTGCATTTCTTTAATATTTTCTTGGGTACAATTGAACTTGGTTTAATTTCTTCTCCGTTCATCGCATGGACTTTGCCCATTAGCTGTGGCTGCAAGAGGTGGAATGGAAACTCTTAGGCCTGCCCTGCAGCGGGTTTATATGACTAGAGCGTCAGCATACAGAGATGCCCTCAAAAGCTTCATTGAAGGATATCAAGAAGGTATTCAACAAGTCATGGAGAAGAAGGAAGAAGCTAATAAATCTCAAGAAGAAAAGGATGTTGGTAAAGGACCATAAAACGTTTCGGTTGTCACAGGTTATGTGTATTGATGTTTCAAATAATTGTATATGCTAGGAGGACTGTACTGTGTGGTGATCAACATTATATGCAGGCTAATGGAATTTGGTGAAGTGAGTTAGGTGAAGTTTACTTGTTTTTTCTAGCTTCTCAACTTCCAAAAGGAAGCTAGAAATAAGCTTGAGAGATTGTAAACAAAATTTACTCAAAAATTTCTGTTTCTTGCTATTCTTTTTTCCAAGTTCTATAGCTTTCTTGCTATTCCAAACATTATACTCATGTTTGTCAAACATTCATCGAATAAAGTTGCTCATAATTTAGCTAGGGTAGTATGTTCTTTGTTTAAAGGAATAAGGTTCAAATTGGCCACTGAACATAACCTGAAAATGCAATTAGGCCACTAAACGAACAAAAAGTGCAATTAGGCCACTGAACACTTCAAAAACGAGCAATTAGGCCACTGAACTCTCCAAACGTATGCAATTTTATCGGATAGCAGGTTACCATTAATTTTAGCAGGTTACCTGCTTACGTGGCAGCTGAGTTGGCATTTTTAATAATTTTTAAATAATTTTTAATAATTAATTTTAATAATAAATTTTATAAAAAATTGAAAGAAATAAAATAAAAAATAAAATAAAGTCGTTTTTATTTTTTAAAAATTTTTTAAATAAAAATTTATTATTAAAATTTATTAAAAATGATTTAAAATTTATTAAAAATGTCAACTCAGCTGCCACGTAAGCAGATAACCTGCTAAAATTGATGGTAACCTGCTATCCGGTGAAATTGCACATTTTTGGAGTGTTCAGTGGCCTAATTGCACTTTTTTTTTTTTCGTTCAGTGGTCTAATTGCATTTTCAAGTTAAGTTCAGTGGCAAATTTGAACCTTATTCCTTGTTTAAATGTAATGTATGGCTGAATGCCTGAATTCTTCGCCTGCTATCATTTTCGACGGTGTTTGGTTTATGGGTTTACACACTAAGTGAATTAAAATCATAGTTAGTGTTTGATTGATAACTTTCTAAAATATTAGTTAGTGTTTGATTGATAACTTTCTAAAATATTAGTTAGTGTTTGGTTAACAACTTTTTAAAACATAACTATGAAATTTGATTACCCATTCAATTAAAAATGGATATTTGATTATCTTTTTATACCTTCCCTACTAGGGATCAAACCCATGATCTCCCGTTTGGGAGAGACACTTCGTGCCACTAGACTATAAGATAATTAACAACATTGTATCTGGTTGGTAAACTAATTTTTAAGTTTGGATAAATGCTTTTAGATTTTTTTTTTTTGATTTTTTTTGTTCATTGTTTAGTGTTTTGGATGTCATTATATTATGATCAATTGTTTTGATTTTTTGTTTGTATATTTTCATACATTACTAAACATCAATATTTCTCACAAAAAAATACCAATATTAGTAATCATTCCAATTCCATCATACTACATGATACGATTAATTCCCGTGTATGTAGAATGTATATTGTATGTATGAACAATGATGTAGCCCCAAGGGATCTTTTATTTATGGGTGTTCTTGTATGTTGTCTAGTACATATTCTAGGGAGAAGGGAGAAAGTTCTAATATAGAGAGAGTGTAGGGAGAGGAAGGGGAGGACCCTTAACATGAAGGGCCAAGTGCCCTTATACAGATGCAATTTTTGACTAGTTAACTTTTTACCTGACTTTTGACTCGAATTGTTTGACCTCAATCCAAAAAGGAGCACGGAATGACAGAGAACCTGAGTCTGGAATATATTTTTCATCGCTATAAAATATGCAAAATACTTTAACTAAAATACATTATCAAGTATTTAATTTCTATTCACATCAAATTCTCATGTGCGAGCTAAATACACAATTATTTTTCCTAACTTAGGTCAGACGGCTGACCACTTCGCAAATTATGCTGTGCAACCGAATGCACCTTGCAATGTGCATACGGTTACAAAACAGCATCGTTTTGGTTAAAAAAAACGCGCGTCCCACTTAAAGAATAAATCAGGTTCGATTCTCGGCAATAACATTTTTATATATCCAGAAATTCATAACTATATAACCACAATTTCATAACTATATATCCACAATTTCATAACTATATATCCACAGTGAATGAATGAAGTAAAAATCCACAATGAATGAACTAAATATCCACAATATATGATTGAACTAAATATCCACAATGAATGAACTAAATATCCATAAATTCATAACTATATAACCACAATTTCATAACTATATAGCCACAATTTCATAACTATATATCTACAATAATGCTATTGCTGAGAGTCGAACCTGATTTTTTTTTTTTTTAAAGTGGGACGCGCGTTTTTAATCAAAACGACGTCGTTTTGAACCGTATGCACCATGCGCATGGTACATTCGGTTGCACAGCATAACTATTGTGACCACTTAAGTCCGGCCGTAGTTTTTGTTTGTTGTTTGCGAAAAGGCTTTCAGGCTATTGAAGAAGGGCAAACGTGTCATTGGTCCGTTAACTCAAGTCCTCGCCGCGTGGGATTATTACCTTTCTCCCTATTCCGGCAAAGCCATCCTCTTCTTCAATCGAATTCTCAGGCTCTCAGCTCCCTCACCGGCGTTGTCCACCGCCGGCATATTCCGGTACTAACGTAACAAAAAATTACAAACGAATAAACATACAAGGCGGAAAAACAGAAAACGATTCAAGCCGAAGCATAGAAATGGGGAGACCCAAAGGAGATGGAGCTAGAAGCAAGTCCCGTCCCTCTAGCAGCAGGTTTTCCTCCTTTATCACACTACTTTATATATATATCATTTAATTTTAATTTCATCATAGCTTTTGATTGAAAGAATAACCGGAAACACTGCTCATGTTGTTGCAGTCTAGCTGCGTCTCTACTGCCACAAGGTGCAACAACTGTAGGGTTCGGTGGCTTCGTAGGTAGTTCCCGCGTCGAGTCTTCGCTGCCATCTGAAGACGCTGCTCCTTTCCTGGTACTCAACTTCTGAAGGAGCATTATATATCTTTATTGATCAATGTGTTATCCAAATATTAAAGTGGAATTCGTAAATAGGTGTTTGAAAAACTATAATCATAACCTTTATCTGTAAGCTTTGCCAAACAGGAAGGAGCTGTATTCCAGAATCCATATTTTACAACTAAAGCTTTCGACTTTGGTGTAACTAGATGTTTTAATTGTTTATTGTTTGTTGCTTGTATTATCTGTTGCATTTTTGTTGTCTTTTAGTGGAAGCAAATTGATGACACAAATTCAGGTGGTCTGTGCAATAGTTAATGATGTTATTACAAAGTATGGCTTTAATTAATGATGCTAATTGGTGATGCAGGATGTTGACAGTGAAGTAGCACAACACTTGAAAAGGCTTGCTAGAAAGGACCCTACCACCAAAGTAATGCATCAGCTCAAGATTTATTTAGTCTTTAAATAACTTTTCGCGAAGGATGAGCTATTCTCCATGTGCTACATTATGTTTGATCGACACGTGGACTCTCTGCAATTGTTGTGTGTTAATAATTGGCGCATCATCATATAAAAATATTGCATTCAGAATATTAAGATGTTAAATATACTCTTTTAGATGCATTTTGAGGAACGGGCTTACCTTTGATTTGAATTTTAAACATTTATAGCATCTATCCATATTTCTTCTTATGTCCTTGACAAATTTCTTTGATCTTTTATTCTTCTCAGCTCAAAGCCTTGACATCACTGTCTCAGTTGTTCAAACAGAAAACTGCAAAGGAGATAGTACCTATCATTCCACAATGGGTATGTTTACTATCTGGGAAAACAAATACTGCTTATGAATTTCTTACAGTATATGGTACCTGGCTTTGTCAACACTTTATTCATATATTTAACGTGTTATGCTCCCCACCCCCCTTAAAATTACCAAACACAAGTAGCATAATGGGGTCATAAATTTTATGATTAGGCATTTGAATACAAGAAGTTGTTGCTGGACTACAATCGAGAGGTTCGGAAGGCGACTCATGAAACCATGACTAATCTTTTCAATGTTATTGGGTTTGCATCTTATCTTTGCCTATTAGAACTGTTTGTAGCTTAACTCCTGTTTATATTTTTGATAAAAGGCAATAATTGTCTACTTTATAAGGTACTTGTTTTCTTGAACTTGTGCAATGCATGTCTTTGCTGAATTTATGCTACTTAGAGTTATCTGGTTTCACAGTGAGGACTTGCTATTAGGTGCACCTTTTCGCACACACAAATAGAAGAAGATAAATCATAAAGCATGTATAAATGTGACTAAAGCTTAGTTTGAGTTGAAAGTGAAAACTAGGTGCTTATCTTGTTGCACTACTTTTTTTCCCTGTGTTTGAGCCAGTGAGCCACATCTGAACATTGCAATTTATATTACAAGCTCACTTTTAGTTCAGTGCTGAGGACCTTGGTTTCCATTGTTCATGCTACAAGCCTACAAGCTCACCTTTTGTTTGGTGGTGTGCACCTTAGGTCTGAAACTGCTACCTTTTCTGGTTATCTCTAGCTTCCAGTCCTTTATTTTTCCCTCTTATTTCTTATCAACAATAGTTTTGGACTTTTTGGTGTTTTGAATGCTTATTGATATATCACGTTAGTATGTTGCCTTTTTTTGGTGAATATGTTTTTCCAAATGTTTAGAGAATCAATAGTGCCGTGGCTCAAACCTTTGGTTAGTTCTTCTTTAGGAGGTAGTAATTTGCTATTGGTTTCTCAATCAAAGGCTCATAGAATAAACAAATCTAGTTGCTTCAATACTGAGAAACCTCTCTTTTTCCCCTGAAATGGAATAAAATTGTCAGATTGTGGCAGGATTGGAAGACATCTGATTCTCACTGGAGTTTCCATTACATGGCTTTTCTTTTAGTTTTAGGATCTCATGATTTTTGTAGCAGACATCCTTGCCATAGTTTCAGACATTCAGTTGTGCTTTGAATTAGTTATCAATGTGTATCATTCTGTAGCTAGTTCTCTGGGACTTTCAATCTTTGTCTTTTTTGAAAATTTTCAAATACTTTAATGTACTCTATACTTCTATAGAATGTTGGATAAGCTTGCTTTGAATTTATTTTGTATTCCCCATTCTTCTACAACTTCAGAAGAGACTTGGCTCCACACTTGAAGTCTTTGATGGGACCATGGTGGCTTTCTCAATTTGATTCAGCTATTGAAGTTTCTCAAGCTGCAAAGCGCTCATTTCAGGTCTT